CACACACACACACACACACACACACACACACACACACACACAAACATGCGTACACACACACACACTCTCTCTCTCTCTCTCACAAACACACACACACACACAAAAAAAAAAAACTCTGGGCGATGTGGTGAGTCCTTATCCATCACCAGTCAAATGAATCTGGGCAGACTGTCTGTCGAGGTTCAACCTCCAGATGAGTGGGTGAAAGTCCGACGAAACAGTCTGGCACAGTCGTGCTTTTATTTGTGAAGAGTTGTGCTTGGCTAACATGACAACACACCCTTGGCTTATCTGTTCGCCTGTTGTTGTTGTTGTTGTTGTTGTTGTTGCCATAATGTGTGTCGCCCCTTAGTTGTCCATCACTTCAGCCGTCTGACATTCAGCGGTCCTTCATTTTTTGTTAACTAAATCAGGTGTCTGCAAAGGTGGATGAGATTATTCGTGTGCTCATGTCAGCGGCCGAGTCTATGAGTTCCGGCTTGGCAATCGGCAACGAGAAATTGACGGTCCAAAATGCGAGCGAGGCGAATCCTGGGCTCCCACCATCGTCGCTGATGGCGCTTCAGCGTCAGGTTAGTCAGGTCGTCCCTCACGCCAGACTCTTCTCCTTTTGTTGTTTTTCTCTTTTTTTTCCCCTTTGTTTTTGCTCTGCCTCCTTGAGTGAATTCCTAAACTCTTTTTGACTCATTGCAATGCCAATGCCTCCTCTGTTGAAGCACTGACAAACTCCTAAAGAATAATTATTCGTTGCAAGATTGTTTTTCTCTGTCGAAGCACTGGCAATGAGATCGGAATTGGCAAAAAAAAAAGAAGATCGAAATTGGAATCGTCATCCGTTTAGAGACAAACTCCTATTAAAATGGAGTACGAACAAAATGCAATAACCCATTTAGTATGCCTCGTGGAATGCCCAAGTGCCTCGCCTGGCCACGACTTAGACCCAGGCTGAGGGGGAGAAAAGGCCCTATGAGAATTCAGGGCCTGAGCGGGCGACAGTTGACCAAAAGTCAACTGCCCGAGGTCCAACAGCCAAAGTCAAAATGGACCCAGCCCAGGCCGCCGGTAGACGCACAGACTTGTTTGTATGCAGGGACCCAGACAGCATCAGGACCAAGGGGAGTCTGCAACTGTACACAATCCAGGCCCTCAGCTGTGAGTCAATCTGTATGACTGTGGGAGGGAGACCTGAGGCCAGACTGCCCGTCAAACACTACATAAGGCTTGGTCTCCAGGAGATCAACATTCAGTCTTGCTATGCTGCCTCGACGCTGGCTTGACTCTAGCTTGACGCTGGCTCGACGCTGGCTGGACGCTGGCTTGACGCTGGCTGGACGCTGGCTGTGCGCTGGTACTGCGGACGACGACGTGGGACTGTGGCAGCATGCTGGCGCCTTCTCTGTTGAGCGCCAGCCTCTGCTGGCGTGGCGCGTGGCACCTATCTTCATTGCTGATGTGGTGCATGCCACCTGTTTACGTTGCTGATGTGGCGCAGGCCATCTGTCTTCATTTGTGATGAGGCGCAGGCCACCTGTCTACATTGCTGATGTGGCACAGGCCACCTGTCTTCATTGTTGATGTGGCGCATGCCACCTGTCTCTACTGCTGACGTGGCACTGGCCACGCTGTCTACATGAGTGACTGGTTGCGATAAGGAGGGAGATCGGGATCTGTGGATGATTGGCAATTGGTACTCAACTGAGGTTGACGTCGACACTGTGTATTGCTGTTGTCTTCATTGTCTCCACGAGATGATAGTGCCATGTGGCACTTCTATGTGATCAGGACTTATCAGACTTTTTACTGTTTATTGATTGATGACGTGGAGGCGAGAGGAAGGCCGGAGAAGGAGTGGGAATTGATTGTGCTGCTCTTGTGTGGTCACTGATTATCTCTTCCACCCTCTCCTCTGTCTATTCCCCCTCCACTCTCTTCGTCTATTGGTAACGAGATATTGTATCAGATATCACTTTCACGTTAACTGGAGACATTGTGCAGATCTGAGTCTACCTGTACTTCGACGTCTGGCGAGTATCTTCCAGTCTGGGTTCATTACTATTTGGTATCGGAGCATACCTCTTTCATAGCGATCTGCTGTCAGGTGCTGACATGGCACCCATAAGTGGGAGGTGCCGCACGTGCAGGAACAAAACGCGTTTATTAACGCGCGCGGTTGATACCGCAGGTCTAGACATTGAGTACCGCACGTACCGCACGTGCGTGCAGCCTCCCTTGAAGGTGATGACGTGGATACACTGGAGGCATTGTGCAGATCTGAGTCTACCTGTACTTCGACGTCTGACGAGTATCTTCCAGTCTGGGTTCATTACAAAAACCTGCAAAATGAATTTAAATGATATAATTAAAAGTTACAAGTTAAAACTATTAAATATTAAATAATAAATACTGAATAATAAAGACTAAGTAGTAAGTACTAAACGAGTCCAACTGTTACTGCGCAGTGCGCACCTCTTCAACAAATTTCAGGCATGAACTTGACGCTTGACGACTCGGCACACAAGAAGGTGATGAGAGGAAGAACGAGGAATAAGGAGAGAAGGATAATAATTTGATTTATGATTTCATACTCAGCGATTGCAATGATAATAATTTGATTTGTGATTTTATATTCATCGATGACAAAGTCAAATCAGGCCAGGCCCCAACAGATTTGACCCTCATCCTAGACTACTACAGATTTGTCCCTTGACTCCAGGCCCATACAGATTTCACACTTGACCCCAGGTCCTTACAGACTTGGCCCTTGTCCCAGGGCCCCACAGATTAAAGGTCGAGACGCATACAAAGAGAGAGAGAGAGAGAGAGAGAGAGAGAGAGAGAGAGAGAGAGAGAGAGAGAGAGAGAGAGAGAGAGAGAGAGAGAGAGAGCCTGAGCTTTTTATCCATTTGTGCATGTCATCCTTGAGAAAGAGAGAGTGTGTTCCGCCGCCCTGTTTCATCTCCTGGTCATCATGTGTAGCTTGCTAGGCCGTTGTACGAGTGTTTATAAAACGTCAAAGTTTCGGAATGATGCCAAAGTCGTCTTAGAGAGCTTTGGACCCTTGACCCCAGGCCCCTACAGATTTGTCCCTTGACCCCACACCCCTACAGATTTGACCCTTAGCCCCAGGCCCCAACACATTTGGCCTTTGATACCACCACATGCCCCTGCAGATTTGACCCTTGACCTCACGCCACTACAGATTTGGCCCTTGACCCCTATAGATTTGGTCCTTGACCCCTTGTCCCTACATATTTGACCCTTGACCTCAGCCCGTGCTCCTTTTTTTCAGTACTGTTTCAAGGTCGTCATGCCAATCTTTGACACTTCAACTTATCTCTGACTTAACTTTACGACACCCATAGGCCTTTTGCAATGCTTTTTTTTTTTTTTTTTTTTTTTTTTTTTAAAACATTTCTAACTTTTATTAATATATTATATTTATTATTTTTAATAAATAAATTTTAATATTTTATTTTTTTTTTTTTTTTTTTTTTTTTTTTTTTTAACTTAACTTTACGACCCATAGGGCTTTTGCAATGCTGCTTTGTGAATTTTGTGAATCTTTAGGTACGTTACCCCATTTTATGAATCTGTCAGGGTTTTCCTTAAGACTGAGATTCACACTAGACATACTTAGATTCGTCCCATCCAGACCGTTTTCTACCAGGGTCCTAAGTTCGTCCCATGCAGACCTTTTTCTACCAGACATACTAGAACCATTGGGACGAACATCTTTGTATTTTCTTTGTATATTCTAAGAGTCCAGACCTGTTTCAGCTGACCGGTGTTGACTCAGACTTCAAAAGAATGTTTCTGTGCTGCATTGTGACCGGGTTCATTCCCTTTCTTTTCTATTTTTTGAAGGACACTGTTGGAAGGGTTGCTTCCAGCCGACGTGGGCTAAAGAATGTTACTAAGGTAGTATTTTCGAATGCTGCCTGCATTTTTTTTTTTTTTTTGGAGGGGGGGGGGGAGTGGTTGGTGTTGGCTGAATCGTACGAAGTCTTTGGAGACGGCCCCAAACTGACGCTATTGCTATTTTAGTATTTTCCGGTTTTGCTTCAGGGTGGTGGCTGAGGGGTTCCGACTCCAGAGTCGAGAGCTTGTACTCAGTCGCTGATGATGACTGCAAATTTTGGAATTTGGAGTTGTGGAATTTGCATCAAATTGCATGTTTAATATTGTTTATCATTATCATGCATACAACTTAGAATTCTCACCGATTTCGTTCCCACATGCATTTATTAATCTCGTGGGATGCTCTGCATTGTCATAAGGTCTGTAATGACTCTGTACTGAGTCTGGACTCTGTAGCCATTTTCTAAAATCTATAGAATCGCATCTGTTCTGTTCTGTGCATGAACTTGGCGCAAATGGGAGTGCGGTTTTCTCGAGCAGAATCCGGACTTCCCCGGAGTTCTTGTGACGGAGTATGATAGCACATTTCGAAACCAGTACTATCAGGGGCACCTTGACGATTCAGGTAAGCTCGTCCTTTTTTGAAGTTTTTTTTTGTTTTTGATTATTGAAAATTGAAAATTTATTCAGCTTTTCTTTTTCCAGTTGAATAAAATAATATTAAAATTTAGTTACCCAATTATTTTCTACTGCTCATAAATTCGTAATTGTTTTACGGGGTATTTCTGAGAATGTTCTGGTTATTTATTTACAAATGAATTCAAAATTCAAATCTGTGTAGCATCGTGTGTTGCCTTCGGCGACCGAACCCGAACGTTTGCGACTGAACGCAGACGAGTGTCAAAACCCTCCAAACGCGACCACAATTTTTTTTACTTTTTTTAAAAGCAAAAAGCTCTCAGAAAAATCTGAAAAAAAATATAGGTTATGCCTGGGAGGTATGTTCAAATTCGTAACCAAACTCGAGTTAAAAATAAAAAACCTTAAAAAAAATAAAAAAATAAAAATAAATAAAAATAAGAAATGATTAGAAATCATAAAATAAAAAATGTTCGACCGAACACGTTCGGAAGACGTTCGGCCGAACACCTGAACATTTTCGGGAGTTCAGAAAAGCCCTGAACGTGTTCTTCTTTTTTTTTTTTTTTTCATTTGGACCATTTCTCAATTTATGCGTGTCATCCTTGCGCGCCGTGAACGTGTTCTGTGTGCTACACAGATTCAAATTATCTGTGGTAGACTTTGATTGTGCATTTCTATCAGCACGGCCTTAACGATTCACGTAGGCTCTTCCTTTTTCTCTTATTTATTTTGTTTATTGAACTTTTTTGGATTTTATTCAATTTAACTTTTAAGTTATTTAACCATTCAATTTAACAATTTAATTTAATTTAATTTAATTTAATTATTCAACTTGTAATGAACACGTTCTGAATGAGAAGCTTCCACCTGAAGATCATGCAAGTTTCATCCGTATACTCAGATGCAGCCACTCGCCGTAAAAAGTCCAGAATTACTCATAAATAGTCCCAACATGAGCAGCGAGTCTCCAGAAGAAAGAGACAAAGGTAGAGAAGCAATGGAGAGAGAGAAGGAATAGTTTTGTTTATAATCATCAATAGTACAAAAAAATAATTGGCCTCTTCCTCCCTCTTCACCATTGGGATCCTCTCCACCAACTCGCCACTTCAGCAATGCGAGTCTCGCCCTGAAAGTCACTGATGAAGTTCCTCCTCAAGTACCAGCTATGGTGCCCAACCTCCAGCATCAATGCTGGCTATGGAGGTTGGCGCCTGCCTTCTCCAACCTCCTGTGGTGTCTGGAAGCCGCTCCGGTACCACCAGCACCCAGATAAGTCACGGTAAGCTTCCCACACTGTCACTCTCTCTCTCCACTCAGTGTCCTGATCACCCTCCTCCTCGCCCTGTCTCCCTCTCTCCTACAGCTCTGGCGGCAGAGTGCCCTTCCTAGCTATGGCTAGCTCTACCACACTCTCTCTCACCCTCCTGCCTGGGCTGGCGCTGTCTTCCTCTCTCTGGTGCCAGTATCACTCTCTTCACCGCCTCGCCCAGCAGCACTCAAGCCACCAGCATATGCAAAGAAGAATGAATCAGCCAGTGCGCCTGGGCGGCCTGGCCGCTTTTTTATAGCGTTGACCAGCCTGAGCAAAGAGCAGTCGTTTTTTTTTTTTTTTCTCTGTTTTTTTGCACATTTGTTTCTGTGGAAGGCCTGCGTCAGTTTTGCCTGTTTTCACGAAAGGCCTCGCCTGAGGTGTGTTTGTTGTGGAAAGGGCGCTATAGTGCTGGGGCCGTGTACTTTTGTCTGTATGTTTGGGATGGGTTCGCTTTGCCATTTAGGCTGACGTGCGTGGGCGTTAGTTTTCCTTTGTTGTATCACTCGTCTTTTTGTGTGTGTTTAATGGGCTCGGAACTTCTTTCTCCTTGCTTTCATCTCATTTTTCGGTTCTTATGTTTTTTCATCACTTGCTCTTCAGTTGCTTTTTCTTTCGTTTGGTAATTTTTAGATTTGCTATGCAAGTGAGAGAGAGAGAGAGAGAGAGAGAGAGAGAGAGAGAGAGAGAGAGAGAGAGAGAGAGAGAGAGAGAGAGAGAGAGAGAGAGAGAGNGAGAGAGAGAGAGAGAGAGAGAGAGAGAGAGAGAGAGAGAGTCAGAGAGAGAGAGAGAGAGAGAGAGGATGGTTCAGTGACGCTCGCAGTTGCAGTGCAGAGAAGAACACAGCCTCCCCAACACGCATGCCGTTTATTATAAACCCTTGCCCAATCACCGGTCTCCTCTCTCTCTCTCCTTGGCCTGAGGCGACTGCGCTCCACCTCACCACGGTCTCGCTTGCCAACAGACCCTCCTGTCCCCGATGTTCCACCTTTGTTACCGGAGACATCCTCATCTCCAGTTCGCCATGCCGCAACCCCTAATATTGTGTATGATCGACGGCACGCAGCGTGTCGATGCTCATCCGGGAATCGGCAGCCTGATTCAAGACAGCAATATCTGCTCCTTTCTCCTCTTCAGATAGTCTTACTTCCGGAGACCCGTCGCGAGACCGTATTTCATGCTGTAGAGCATCGGAGATTCATGGGTCACCTGCAGAGCAGTAGATGGACCTCACTCAAGTGGCAATCCTCACTGTGGATGCAGCCCCAAACCTCCCAGGATTGGAACATCATGTGGCTGAACTGCCAATTGCCCAACAAGGCGTAGACCACTAGTGTGATCTGCAAATGACTGACCAGTATACAACCCAAGACGTAGACCACATGAGTGATCTGCAAATAACTGACCAGTATACAGCCCAATGTGTAGGCCACATGCATGGTCTGCAAATTGCTGCACGAGGTGTAGACCATGTGCCGAGTCTGCAAATGACTGACCACGGTATAGCCCAAGGCATTCCAGGGTTGGAACATCATTTGGGTACCCTACTACCCTGCAAATTGTTGGCCAGTGTCCAGCACTCCAACCTTCTCATGGCAATGGAGAACATCTCTGCGATCCTTGTACGTCTAATCTTGTTCAGAACCTCCCCAATCTCTGCGGTCTGGCTGCTACCACAGCTGGTCTGCACGTACTCCATTGGACGCTTTATATGGAGTGACTTTCTTACACTTGCCCTTCAGCTTGATGTGGGTATTCCCTTCTTACAGTATTAAAGCACCAGTACACCACGCATAGGCCCGCGGGTGTCAGCACGAAACCCGCAACAGTTCGGTGGCCGCTGATTTTTTTTTTAAATGGTGCCCCTGGCGGTGCGGCGCCTCCGAGTTTTGCTTGTGGCAACAAAAGCTTTCTGCAAGGCTGGGGCCATGTACTAGCGGTTTAACCCAAATAGAATGCTCGATCATGATGGCTGTGTCTAGACTAAAAGTTGCCCGAAATACAGTTTTATAATGATCGCATTGATCGGGCATTCTATTCAGGCAAAGACAGTAGAGCTAGAGGATAAGCTATACCGTGGAAGGAGGGCTTGCAATTGAGGTCCTACAAGTAGCAATGAGGGAGTTGAACCGCGCTACTCCGAGTCTTGGTGAGTAGTTCTGTCCTCCATTCTATATCTCTGCCTGTGTTGTACTCGAACCCCCCGACCATTATATGACCATTGTCCATGCCTCAGACTGCTGGGAGTTGTGGAACAATGGCACCATGGTCCATACCATGATTGATGTCGGCGATTTTTCTCATACCGCAATGATGTTTTCTTGTCACTGCAAACTGTCCACGCACTCATATATGTTGAAGATCACTTCTCTGTCCCTGTCCCTCCGCACGACACTTTGCCAATGCCCTGTGACCTTCTACTCTGCACAGCCTCAGACACGGTTACTCTCGGCTGCAGGCATCATTGTCTCCGCCACAGCCACTACAATGGCAGGGTTCTGCATCAGCGCATGCAGAGGGCTGTCCCTCATTTCCTGACTGTGTGCACCCTCCCCATTCGGATGTCATACGTCCATTTTGCGGCCATGGACCCTATACGCATGGTTTTCTGTGCTTCCCAATTTTACTTCATAACATGCCATCTCTCGGGTGTGTTTGGTGGGCATGCTTAAACCACCAGTACACGGCCCCAGCCTTGCTGAAACAGAACTCCTCGCCCATCCGAAAAAATTGAGCGGGGGGGGGGGGGGGGGGGCGCCGTTGGTAAATCCAATCGGCGGCGGCGGCCCTTGTCGCGTTTCGGCATCTGAAAGCATGTTGTGGCCAATGTATGGCATGTATTGGTGGTTTAAACCACCAGTACCTCCCTGCCTCATTTTGCTGAGGGGATTCCGCCAAAAGAACGAAGCGCCATCACGCGCCGCCAGCCATCCTCGTCCAGTCGCACTGTTCATCCTTAGCACCCAGAATGCCGCATTCTTAACTCTCCAAGTTTGCCTGGGTGAGGTACTGGTGGTTCGATTCCAGCCATCACGGCAATTCTTGTGCCGAGAATGCTCAGCTTGGTCTTTCATGTCATGCTCCTCCTTGCAGTGCATGTCCTCTGCTTCGTCAAGGAGAGACTGACTCATGAGGCTTCTCTTATCCTTCCCTATGCTTTCATCTGCATTCCACACTCCATACGTGCCCTTTGTGTTCCTTCCTTCTTTCTCCCCTCTCCCTTTACTCTGTGTCTTTCTCACAGCGTTTTCTATGGCACGTGGGGGGCATGGGCAGCTCACGTGGCGAGCCTTGTGCATGAGATTGACTGTAAAGGGGGAGCTGAAAGAAGAAATAAAAGAGGCACCAACAAGAAAACCAAAGTTGGGAGAGGAATGAAAGAACTGCACAGTGCACAGCTAAAGTCAAAAGAACGGTTTTGCTGTGCTCGAGGTTGTCTTCTCTTTTCTTCGTTTGTCAAACTTTGTGTTTTGTTTCGTGGAGTGCGCTCCTTGAGCTTGATGTGTATGTGACAATGTATATGGGCATATTGACCTTGTGCGGCTCTTGCAGGGAACGTCGATGAGGAGGCGATCTCCCAGGCAGCTACTCTCATTGCTCGTGCTCTCTTTCTTCTTGCTGGTGGTGGACCAACTGCTGATCATATCAATGCCAACTCTTCGCTTATCTCCAGCTTGGCCAGCTGTCTACTGACATGGTCCCCAGGGTTGTCATGCCCGCTTGCACAAGCATTGATGACTCCCCGACAGGCGTTTGCTAATCACTATGCCGGTGTCATTGCCTACCCTTACCCAACTCCGCATCCGGCGAACATCGATGATACAGCCCGACTAGTATGGAACTTTATGGCCTCGCGTACGGACCTGGAGGCGCTCAAGACGAGGGAAGTCGGTCCGGGTAGTCTTGACAATGACTCTACCCCAATAAGGTGCTCGTTGAACTGCTCCGTCAAGCCAGGGCAGGTGTGCGTCGGTTCTCGAGCAAACGAGAAGGGCGTTTGCATGACGTCCACAACAACTTACGTTCCTGCCTACTCAACGAGGCTGAGTGTCGATAAGTATGGGGTATGGAGTGTGTTGCCCATCCAAGGGGACAGTCCGGTTCTCGACCTTGTTGACCCTGTCTTTACGGAAAGTTACTGGCGCACACTCACGGTACGCGCATTCAAACAAGATAGCGCGTCGTTCGAGTCGGGAATGCTCACGCTGGGTTCACTAATGACCGCCTCCTCACTTGCAGTGGCATTCGGTACTCGGTTGTTGTTTGCCAAGCGTTTGAAAAATCTTTGATCTGCTTCCGAGTTTCTACCCTGTCAAGTCCAATTCCATGATTCGACCAAAAGAATTTCCCGATTTGACCAGCGCCTTTGTGAGATAATTGCTCCGGCGGACCTGTACCATACCTCATCTACCCTACATTCATCCCACCCTTCCACACCGTAATTTCTGTTAGACCTTAACCTCCTCCCCACCGTGGCCCCAACCCCCCAAGCTCTAGAAGGACAGCAGCAGTGAGGTCTTGCGATCATTCTCTCTCCCAGCCTTTCTCAGCTGGTCCCCAGCTTGCCCTTGAAATCGCTCCCCCCTGGTCACGTACCTGCCTCTTAGTCTTCCCCTCTTGGCCCCCAGCTTCCCATCCCTTCTTTCCCTCCTGGTTCCCACCCTGCCTCCCAGTTGTCCCGAAATTGCCTCCCGGTCTTCCCCTCCTGCTCCCCAGCCTCCTGTGCCTGCCTCCCAGTCTTTGCCTCCTGCTTCCCAGTCTGCATCTCAGCACATCCCGCCTGGTCCCCAGCCTGTGGTCCCGATATTGCCTTTTCCTTCTGGTTTCCAGCCTTCATCTCAGTCTCTTTCCCACCTGGTCGTGAACCTGCTGCCCAGTCTTTTCCATCTGGTCCCGAGCCTGCCTCCCAGTATTTCCCTCCCAGCTCCCTGCCTGCATCTCAGTCTTTCCCTTCTGGTCCTTGGTCTCGCAAGCCTGCCTCCCAGTCCCTCCCTCCTGGTGCCAGCCGGCCTCGCAGTCTTTCCGACCTGGTCTCCAGCCTGCTTCCCAGTCTTTCCCACCTAGTCCCGAGCCTGCAGAAGGGTTCTTTGCCTGCCTTTCTCCAGGGAAAAGAGGAGCAGTGGTTGAAGGTTTTTGGATGCTCGTTTACTCCCACTGGGTTTGAACTCTCAACTTATTGATTGAACAGTTATGGGCCAAGCATGTACAGGTGTGGTGTACGTTGAAGCCCAGCTGAAGAAGCAGTGTACATCTTGAGCATCAGCACGGACCTTCCCATCCTTGTCAGCAGACGGTTAGTTCCTTTTCGGGATTTGTAAAGGAGACCTTGGCTGCTGCATACAGATCCGATATCGTCGTTGTCCTTGTCTCTTCCTCGTAAGAGTCGTAACCAACCATCTAGGACATCAGCACTGACTTCTAAAGGAGACCTTGCCATTGATGTCAACTTTGAGGGGCCCAGCATGCCCGGGTAGCCGGGGTTGGTCCCGATATTGCCTTTCTCCTTATCAAATGATGATTTGATTGTTCGCAGATTGTCGTTGTGGGATGGATGCAGAGATCGTGCATTTCATTGAAACTTACGCGCAATGCCTTTGCTGTTCCTATTGGAGATTGTGACTGTTTGCTTACCCTGATTTTAGATGGCCTCAACTATTTTTCAATGCCTCTCTCTCTCTCTCTCTCTCTCTCTCTCTCTCTCTCTCTCTCTCTCTCTCTCTCTCTCTCTCTCTCTCTCTCTC